CATCTGGAGTACTGTGTCCAGTTTTGGGCCCCACACTTCAAGAAGGATGTGGATAAATTGGAGAGAGTCCAGCGAAGGGCAACAAAAATGATTAGGGGACTGGAACACATGAGTTATGAGGAGAGGCTGAGGGAGCTGGGATTGTTTAGCCTGCAGAAGAGAAGAATGAGGGGGGATTTGATAGCTGCTTTCAACTACCTGAAAGGGGGTTCCAAAGAGGATGGCTCTAGACTGTTCTCAATGGTAGCAGATGACAGAACGAGGAGTAATGGTCTCAAGTTGCAGTGGGGGAGGTTTAGATTGGATATTAGGAAAAACTTTTTCACTAGGAGGGTGGTGAAACACTGGAATGCGTTACCTAGGGAGGTGGTAGAATCTCCTTCCTTAGAGGTTTTTAAGGTCAGGCTTGACAAAGCCCTGGCTGGGATGATTTAACTGGGAATTGGTCCTGCTTTGAGCAGGGGGTTGGACTAGATGACCTTCTGGGGTCCCTTCCAACCCTGATATTCTATGATTCTAAGCTTGGTATCATAACCTCATTCCACTTGCTTCCGGCCCTCTGCTGCAACTTCCACTCAGCCTGTCTGTCTCAGGAGCAGATCAGATACTTCATCCCAACCTGGAGATTCTGTGGCATCAAGCACTGCGCCTTACTGGTTCTCTGGGACAGAGTCTTCCTGTTCTTTCTACTGTTTAGCAACACTTGTTGCATTTTTGTAGCAGTTCATGCGTCACACTTGCCTTCAGAAATGGAGGTGATATCATCTCTGGTGTACCCGTCAACATGTTCCTCCTGTCCATTCTTCTCTTTCCACCATCCTAAACTACCAGCTAGAATTGAAAAGATCAGTCAAGATTCACTTGGCAGGTTTCTTTCAGTTTTTACTCATCCCGCTACACTGAGATTTCTTAGAGGTCTGATGAATCTTTTCCCACAAATTAGAGAACCTACACCAATATGGGACTTGAATGTTGTCTTTAATTGTCTTATGGAAACATCCTTTTGAGCAATTATCCACATGTTCATGCTTCATCTATCAATGAAAACAGTTTTCTTGGTGGCCACCACTTCCACCAGAAGGGTTGGAGAACTGGAGGGTTTAATGACAACCCCCCTGTAGCAAAGCGAAGGCTCACCGGTGCAGTGCCTCACGGGAATTAGCTCTTGTCCAGTCCAGAGTGCCCTCTACAGGCCGGTGTCTCGCCTGCCTCAGGCCCCGTGTCCCTCCTGGACCCTGATGCCCTTTACCTTGGGGTTCTTCCCCCCAGAAGTCCCCACACTCTGGGTCTCCCCTCCCAGGGGAACCCCAACTCTCTATCCACACCTTGCCTCAGTGGCTACTGCCAGTCATCATCTAGCCCCCACTCACCGGGGCAGACTGCAGTCTGTAATGGCCACTCATCACTGGCAAGGGGGTTAGGACCAGCTGCTTCTGCCAATCCCCAGGCTGCTCCTCTGCAGCCCTAGTACCTTCTTAGGTCTTAACCAAGGCCTCAGGCTGGGGAGTTGCCCGGCTGGAGCTTCCCAGCTCCTTTGCCTGTCCCCAGCACTGCTCAGCCTCAGGTACCCTTGTTCCTTCAGACAGCTAGGTCCTTCTCTCTCCAGAAAGAGACTCTTTCACAGCTCCTGGTCCACAGCCCTCTTATTGGGGCCAGCTGGGCCCTGATTGGGGAAGCAGCTATAGCTGGGGCCACGCCAATCAGCCTAGCTTGGCTGCTCTTAACTCCTGTTCTCCAGGAGTGGGGCAGCCACCCCACTACACCCCCATTTATAATGTTCTTTAGGGAAAAGGTCTCCTTATGACCACAGCCAAAGTTTTTACCTATGATGTCTTCTGAATTTCATGTTAACCAGACTATTCATCTCCCAGCGTTTTCCCCCAAACCACAGCAGACTAGGCAGAAAGCTGCCTTCTATATCCTGGACATTGAAAGGGCATTAGCTTTTTATTTGGATAGAACCAAACCATTCAGAAAGTCTCTCAGAGTGTTTGTTTCAATTGCAAGACAGATCCAAAGGATCCACAGTCTTCACTCAGAGGCTTTCAAGATGGATCTCCCACTGTATCATTTCATGTTATGACTCTGCCAGTATTCAGCTCCTTTGTAGAGTGTTAGCCTATTCTGCAAAGTCCCAATCTACTTCTGTGGCATTACTAAATAACGTTTTGGTTGTTGAGGTTTACAAGACAGCAACCTGGACTTTAACACATACTTTTTCTAAGCACTGTGCCTTTTCTAAGCATGGCTCTAGATCAGCTGCTGTGGTTGGCAAAGCAGTTCTGTCATCAGTTCAAGACTGTTCTGGATTTCCCTCCTCCCTGTGGGGATACTGCTCAGGAGTCACCTGAAGTGAAGCACCCACAGGGACACTGCTTGAAGAAGGAGGAGAGGTTACTCACCTTGTGCAGTAATTGGAGATGTAATTCTTAGAGATGTGAGTCCCTGTGGGTGCTCCACTACACACCATCCTTCCCAAGTATATTGAAGTTTCCTCTGTGGAACTTCATGGTAGAGAAGTTACTAAGGATAGTTTGGCCACATAGCCCAATATATCCTCACTACGAGGCAAGAGGATGTGTATGGTGCATGTGCAAGCTGAACAGGAACTGCTGCCAAAAACTTCTGATCTGGGGTGCATGCATACCTGAAGTGGAACACCCACATGTGTCATGAGACAGGAAGAACAGAAGCTTCTGATGTACTGATGGGGGAAGGGATAGCTCAGTGGTTTGAGCATTGGCCTGCTAAACCCAGGGTTATGAGTTCAATCCTTAAGGGGGCCATTTAGGGATCTGTGGCAAAAATTGGGGATTGGTCCTGCTTTGAGCAGGGGGTTGGACTAGATGACCTCCTGAGGTCCCTTCCAACCCTGATATTCTATGATTCTACTTTCTCGATACATTCATTATTTTAGATACTTTTATCGTGTTCCCTCCTATTTGTCCCCTTCCTAAGCTGACACCCCTAATCTTTTCAGTCTCTTCATATGAGACTTTCCATGCCTATCATTCTCATTGCCTTTCTCTGAACCCCCTCTAATTCTGCAATATCCTTTTTGAGATGGAATAACTAGTACTGCACACAGTATTCCAGATAAGACCATATGATTGATTCATAGATGGCATTATTACTATTTTCCATATTATTCACCACTGTGTTCCTTGTGCATCTAACAGCTTAGGGTTTTTTCATTTTGTTTTTGTTTTTTATTACAACTGCATATTGAGTAGAGGTCTGTATTGAGCAATCCGGTGAGACCCAAGTCCCTTTCCTGAATTGATATAATTAATTTAGAACTCTGTTAAGTATATGAACAGTTTAAATTTTTACCCGTAATGTGCATTACTTTGCATTTATATTGAACTCCATCTGCCATCATGTAGCCTTTTCACCTACCTTCGTTAAATTCCTCTGAAGCGCCTCATACCTATTATTGTGTAAAACCTTAATAGCAACCTCAGCAGTGTTAGTGCAGAATAGCACGGTATTGTCTGTGAGGATCCCACTCAAGGTATGTGTGAGAGCTAGGACCTTCTTTATACTGGTGTCTATTGGGGCTACACACATGCTATCACAAGGATGCAGATATTTTGGACTGTGAATATATAAGAAACTGCGTTCCCAATCACCCCTCTGTTCTTTACATAATGTTTCACTAAGATTATATGGTTTTGTACCCACACCCTGAACTCCTGCCAAAAGAAGTTTGGTTTCCATTTGAACAAATCTCATAGGGTTTTTTTTTTTAATTCTTCATATCTCAGACTTTGCCAGAAAAATCCAGGCTGTGTAGTTTAGGTGTTAAAACGAATCAATTTACAAATACCCTCAACTTCTTGTAGATTATATGATAGATCCAGAGAAAGCAGTCTCTGCTGCATATTTAAACTTATGATTATGTGAGTGTCTCTATCTGAAAACCTGGGTATACATTGCATAAAATCTAAAGCCGTTTCCACTACATGTCTGAGAAATTATCCAACCCAGGAGATATGAAGAGCTGCTATTTGGCATTCTGTTTGTACTTTTACACAACATTGCTCCCTTGAGTTGGTGGCTAAAACTAACTCCTAATTCAGAAATGCAGTGTACAGTCTCAAGTGTTCTTCAGCCCCATCCTCCTTTGAGGTTTGCACTGCTAGTTAAAGTTGCTGAAGTGAGGATTCATACAGAAAATATGTAAAGGGGAACTGTATTTATCTGCATGTATTCCTACTTTTTATCTTTCTTTACTAGTATTTAGAATTTTCTGTTGGTATTGTTTTGCAGAGAAAGGAAATGAAAGGTGGATGAGTTGCATTTCCTTATATACTCCTATGGTATGTCTACACTTTGAGCTGGGGCTGTAATTCCCAGCTCAAGGAAACATACCCCTGATAGCTCTGATTGAGCTAGTGGGCTAAAAATAGAATATATCCATAAAGGCGTGTGTGAATGGCAGGGATGTGGGGTGGGGCTAGCTGCCATAAGTATGTGCCTAGCAACTTGGATTGCATTGTACTTGGAGTGACTAGTACCTCCTACTCGCACAGCTGTGGTTACACTCTGTTTTTGGTGTGTTAGCTTCATCAGAGCCAGCATAGGTAAGTCTCTTTGAGCTGGGAATTACATCCTCAAATCGAAGTATAGGCATATCTTCAGTTTGGATCCGTATGGCCTCATTGGATATTGCTACAAAAAGGGTTCTGAGCTATTGTTCCAGGTCATATGTGTCACAGAAATGTGGATCCATACAAACTATGTACTAGAGGAACTACATCTATTTGGTAATTAACTTTTCTTTAGTTTACTTCAATGGCTCTGAATCTTTATCTTTGCAGAATTAAAATTTCTTCTCAAATTCTTGCACTATTTATAACTTGGAATAAGAAGAGTGAAATTGGAATCTGAGTGCGCTTTTCAGAGTGAACACTTGGTTATCAAAGTTCTTAGACTGTCTGCATTATATAGCTTCAGTAGTAAACATTGCTAATATGAAAGTATCTTATGAATTACAGGGAAGCAAGGAGAGTTTCTATTATTCAGTCTAAAAAAGAAAGTGAAAATCAGAAAATGAAAGAAGATTTAATTAAAGCTCAGGTAATGGATATTGATAGTATCAATACTGCATACAGTATGTATTTTTACGGTTACAATAGTTCTTTGATTGCATATGTTCATTCCATTTAGGTATGTGAGCATCCAGAGCATCAGTGGCAGATGGTTTTCCCTTGCAGTACCCATAGAGGTGGCAATTGTGCCCTTTGTCTTCTTATGATCCAGCCAAGGCTATAAAGGGCAAACATCCTGACCCTCCTTTAGTTCCTTCTTACCACTTGTGGCTGTCAGTTGGAGCATTCACTGTACCTTTGTGTGCAGTTTCTTTCTCTTTAGGGTTTTGATAGTATATGTAGTTAGTTGGTAGTACTTGTTAGTTTTTGTCTAAAAGAGGCTCTTTTTTCTCTTTAATTTTACTTGAGTTGTTTTATTTTTGGTTTTTGTCCCTTCTAGACTGAAGCTGTTGACTCTGGTACCCTCAATGGATCATCGAGGCCAGCTACATCAGCTGTGACGGTGGAGGATTCAGAACTGCCACTGAGTGGCATGCAATCTCCTATATCAGTGTAGTTGGCGCCAGAGGCATACCTGTCTGCAAAGGACCTTCTGTGCCTTTTGGTACCTGACTCCCTACTCATTCTTATGGAGGTAGTTGCTTCCAACACCAACACCAGCAGGAGGATCAGTCCTTTAGATACCAGTACTGGCTTCTCGTCTTACAATATCAGTACTGATTTACTCTTTATCCTTGGCACTGACAATGGATAGAGTCCTCTGGTACCAATGTAGTCTCAATGTAGCTCAGTTCCAATAGCTGCCTACGGTGCTGCCTCTGGTACTGATGACTTATCATCGGTCCAGGTCTCTATCACCAGCGACCTCTTCCAATAATGTGCCTCCCTGAAAATTCCTGTTCCTCTTTGGAGTCTGATATAGGTTCATATGCCTCCCACTCCTGCTACAGAGGCTCCAGACCATCTTCTAGGACTTACTTTCACTCCTGCAGAAAACATTTTAATAAAAGTAGGTTAAGGGATTGGGCATCTTGGCTCTGTTACAATTGGCTGATGATGCCTTCCCACCCTCCTCACTGGCCTTACTGGAATCCATGGAGAATGTCTTTGGCCTCAAGATCTTCCTCTCAGTTATTGTGTAGAGACAAATTACCTCAAAGGGAGTAAACTCCAACCAATACCAATCTGGCTATCAACCTGGGTATTGACCGTAGTGCACGTCTAGGCATCTGTGGACTAACCTCCAAAGATTGGTGCTTATGACCAGCCACCTCATAAGGCATTAGCTCTGCCACCTTTGAGTGCATCTTCTTCATCTCCAGATAAGACTCTAGTACTTGAGGCATCATCACTAGTACCAAATGATTACAAAGTGTGTCAGGACATGCCACAAAAGGTAGCTGCCTCTCTGGTCAGGCAGACTGAGCTTGTGATGGAGAACCCACACAAGCTTAATTGATATTCTGCACACCGCTACTATGGGGAAAGAAGTATTACTGATAAATGAAGCCATATGACAACCGACAAAGATCCTTTGGCAGACACCAGCCTCGATTTCAGCAGTGGCTAAATGAACTGAGCAGAAATATCAAGTCTCTTCTCAAGGATATGAGCAGTTTTACTCACACCCAATGCCTTTTTCTTTAGTGGTCGCTACTGTAAATGACAAACAGCATCAGGGTTGAGCTAAGGTAACTCTTAAAACATAAAGTTACCCAAAGTTGCAAAAAAACCTGAACTTGTTTGGATGGTAAGTTTATTCAGTGGCAGGATTACACCTCTTGTGTTACCAACCATCAGGCTCTTTTGCCCTGACATTACTGTCTTAATTGGGATGCATGTGTCACCCAGAGGCCCCTTGGTGCCAACTGGCAGAGGACATAAGTAGTTCATAGGAGTTTACAGGGATCCTCTGGATCTGATATCTATGTAGTGGTTCTCCTTGGGTATCCCATGGCACTGATTCTTGACTCTGGCTCAACTCTGCTCTGCTCTAACCTCCAGTCCTGGCCACCCACATACTTCCCACCATTAGGCTTGACCGCCCATTGTTCTGGTTGTTTTCCTGATACAGACTCTACATTGTCTAGGAGTCATAGAAGTACCACCTCCATACATTGAAACGAGGGGCTTTACTCCACATTTTTCCTTATACCCAAATCCAGAGGAGGTCTCAGACCCATTTTACACCTTTAGAAATTAAACAAATACATCAAGAAAATAAAGTGTATGACTTTTTTGGCTTCCATTATCCGTTCTTTTGATCAGGATGTTTGGTATACTGCCCTTTACAGAATATATATTTTCATATGGTAATCCATTCTAGCCACAGAAGATTCCTCAGATTCACAGTAAGAGAAGACCAGTAGCAGTTCACTGTGTTTCTCTTCAGCCTCTCATTGGCACTGAGGGTTTTCACAAAGTGCATGGCTGTGGTGGCAGCCTACCTTTGGTGATGGGAACTCCTGCTATTTCTGTACCTGGTGGATCGGCTGATTCAAGTCTGCTCTAGTCAGCAGGTGGGGAACAGCATTTGTTGAATTCACTGCTCATTCAACAAGTTAAACCTGATAATCAACAAAGAAAAGTCAGCTCTGTGCCCTGTGCAAAAGACTGCTCCTTGAAGTCTTTAAACCACCATTTGAGGACTTCAATAGCTCAGACATAGGTGAGAGGTTTTTCGCAGGAGTGGTGGGTGAAATTCTGTGGCCTGCGTTGTGCAGGAGGTCAGACTAGATGATCATAATGGTCCCATCTGACCTAAATATCTATGAATCTATTGGGGCACTCCTCAACTCAATACAGGACCTTTGTGCTTTCTTCCAGACACAGCCTCATACCATGGTGAGGAGTTGTCTCAGGCTCCTGGACACAAGGCAGCATGTAAATATATAATTTAGCATGCCAGATTTCTCCTGTGGGGTATGCAGGCGTGATTGAAGATGGTTTATTGCTCAGTAAAACATCTGGACATGCTGATTTATGTACCTGCCTGGGTTCCGCCATGTCTGGATTGGTGGATGAACCTGAACAATGTGCGCAGGAGCATCCCTTTCTCACTGGCTCTTCCGTCCATGATCACAGTCACAGATGCATCTTCCATGGGTAGAATGGGTAGTGCATTTGGAAGTCCTACAAGTCCAGAGTTTGTGGTCCAATGAGGAGCTCATGTTGCACATAAATGTGCTAGAACCATATGCAATATTCTGAGCATGCCAGATATTTCTACTACATATCACAGGCAGCACTATACAAGTACTCACAGACAACACCATTGCTTTATTTTATGTGACCAAGCAGCGTGTAGCTGGGTCCAGCTGGTTGTGCCAGGAGGCAAGTCAAACTGTGGGACTTTTGCATAAGAAGTGCTATATCTCTCAAAGCATCACACCTCCCGGGAATTCAGAATTGCCTTGTGGACCATCTCAGTGCACCATTCAGTCTAAATGATGAGTGGTCTCTCAAACCAGAGCTACTCAGATCTGTGGTTTGCACATGAGGAATCCCAGTAGGAAATTTTTTCACCACAAGACAGAACAGGAAGTGTTCCCATTTCTGCTTCGGGGTGGGACACAACCTGGGGTCTATCTTTGATACAGTTCTCCTCCTGTGGGGACACTATCTACTATATGCATATCTACCAGTACCCCTAATTTCCAAGCTCAAACAGAATTGGACCAAGATGAATTTAACAGTTCCTGTTTGGCTGAGGCATCATTGGTTCTCAGACCTGCAAAGCCTGAAGATCCAGGCTTTGATGCTATTGCCTCAAATAAAAGACCTAAGCTCACAGGATCAAGATTAAGTGTTGCATCTGAACTCTTGCATGCTTCACCTCATGACATGGTTCCTCAGCAGCTAACACAAAAAGAAGCCAACTACTTATTAGCATTCCAGAATGTTTTATTGAATAGTAGAAGACCCTCAACTGGGTATACTTATCTTAGGAAGTGGAAACGGTTTTCCATCTGGGTGGCTCAACAAAATATTTCTCCCTGTTGAGCGAGGAGTCTTTTGTCATCTGAAAGAAACAGGACTCTCAATTTGTTTGGTTAAGGGACCATTTGGCTGCAGTTTCTGCCTTCCAACTCCTAACTGAAGGTTGTTCTGTGTTTTTAACCCAATGACGGTAAGATTCCTGAAAGATATAAGTAGGCTCTACTTGTAAGTCAGGGATCCGATGCCACCATGGGATTTAAATTTAGTGCTCTCTGTGCGCCTGGGGCCACCTGTTGAGCCCTGAGCTTCTTGCTCATTGTTACAGCTGTAAGATAAAGTGGCTTTTCTGGTGGCCATCACATCTGCCAGGAGGGTAGGGGAGTTGCAGGCCCTTGTGGTGTATCCACTGTTTACAGTGTTTTATAAGAACAGGGTATCCTTCAGACCTCACCTTAAGTTTTTAACAAAAGTGATTTTGGATTTTCATCTTAATCAATGTACTTACCAGTATTCTTTCACAAATCTCAAAGCCACAAAGTTGAGGAGAAACTACATAGCGATATGTACATGAGTGCTTATGCTGGCAAAACTTATGTCACTCTGGGGTGTGTTTTTTCATACTCCTGAGTGACATACATTTTGCTGACATAAGGAGTAGTGTACACATGGCGTTAGAGTGTCACAGCTAAATACAATATGGAACAGATTATTTAGCATAAGCAGTTCAAGGGACCATTCATGGTGATGTGAAATATGTGTTAACTACTTGTGCTAAACAATCTGTTCCATCTTTTATTTAGCTGAGACATTCTGAGTAAGTATCCCAGACCAAAAGAAGAACTCTGTGTAAACTCGAAAGCTTATCTTTGTCACCAACAAAAGTTGGTTGGATAAAAGATATTACCTCACCCACCTTGTCTCTATAATGTCCTGGGACCAACACAGCTACAACAACTCTATTATGCTATTATGACAGCCTCAGGGATGATGCAAGTTTTAGATAAGACTCCTAGCCTCACCACCTTGGCAAATGACTTGGTAGTCACCTGGAGTGAAATGGACATACACAATCACTCAAAGAAAACAACAGTTACCTACCTTCTTGTAACTATTGTTCTTCAAGATGTGTTGCATATGTCCATTCCATGACTCATCTCCTTCCCTGTTGTGTCGGAGTCTAATGTTATGTGGATTCTGGTGCAAAGGTGCTGAATGGAGGGGCAGGACAGCTTTGCCCTTTATACTCTTGGCTAGAGCATGAGGAGATGCAGGGTGTATGTGCTTCTCTTATGAGTACTGGACATGCACACACCTGCAGTGGAATGATATATGCAACACATCTCGAAGAACAAGAGTTATAAGAAAGTAAATAACAGATTTTTGCCTTTCACTATATTATAGTCAGAACCAGACAAAAAGTACACAAAATTGATCATGAAAAATACTTTTGAGACCTCTCTCTATCATATAATTAGAATTCTATAGACCTAAAGACTATAATGTAGCAGCTTCAATTCAGTACAGGAGTCTGTGTATAATGTGATTACGTAGCCTTACACGTCGTTATAATTGCCCTCAGGTGTGTAGGAGTGGGGTTTTCTTTGGTCCCTCTATGTTCCCTAGGTATTTAAGTTCTTAAAGTGGGAAGGGCTGTAATCTGGGGAGAGAATTTAGGATGAGGAGTGTTGCATTAGGGATTCACTCCATTTAATGTAGGTCTAATTGTGCAACATAAGATATAGAGCATTACTTCTAAGTGTTTTTGTAAAGAAAGTCTGCATATTTGATTTCATGTGGGTGAAATTTATTTCTTTCTACACAAAGCCCAAATAATTGGGCTTTGTTGAGGATCTAAGCAGGTTTTGGATGGAATTCACTCTATTCTATAGCTACTAATTCGGACACTATCCTTCTTCACTCCTTATATGAGTAGTTTGGGCCACTGTGTCATTCTAATCAAGGATTCTAATCTTTATATGATGGCCCACTCAGCACTAGCCTGTTTTGACTGTGGTGTGTGTGGAGGTGGAGAGGCCCCTTTGCACAGCCACTATACGAACAGCCAACCTTGAGAGCAGAGGCTAAAGCAGCACTTCCCTGGCATGTGTGAGTGAATTTTTATCTTATATAGTGTTAATAGCAGCGAGTGTATACCAGAGTGGAAGTCACAACCCTTAGTGCCTTTTGACCTATAATTTATTCAGTATTCATCATGGTGTGGGAATCGCTCACTATCTTTGAAAAGTGCATCTCCATAGTTGGTGAGTCCCCTTCCATTTAATCAGTGGTCTATGTATTTTCCAAGTATGCATATAATTATAATTTGTATGCACAGGAGTAAACCTTTTCACTGATATTATGTAATGAATGGTCCAATAACCAATGTTTTGGTTTGCTGGCAGTTTTGAAAAAATAAAATAAAAAAAGTTTGTTTGGGTCAAACCAAATCCAAAAAGTTCAGCAAATCAAAAATGTGAGTTTTGGGTCAAACTAAATATCTTATTCAATCCAAAATGTTTGAGGAGGAGGAAAATTCCTATAACTTTTAGCACGATGGTTAGGGTATTCACCAGGGACACGGGTGGGAGATCCACATTTAATTTCCTCCTCTGGTAGATGCAGAGCAGAGATTTGAACTTGGGTTTCCCACAGAAGTGTGCCCTCATCACAGGGCTATATAGGGGCAGATCTCTCTCAGTCTGTCCTGCTGAAGCTGTTCCACTTCAGATAAATAATTAAGTATTCATTGGAGCAAGGATTTCAACTTGGGTCTCCAACATGCTAGGTGAGTGCCTTAACCACTGGGGTAAAAGTTATAAGGAGGGTGTGACAACCATCAACTCTTCCTCTTCTAGCTGTAATGTAAATGATGCCCAAGTCCTCTTGTGAATCTAGCCAGAACATTTTTTTTCAGCTGAAACTTGGGCAAATTTGTGTCAAATTTGCAAATAGATTTGGATAGTCCAAAACTGCATTTTTCAGCAAATAAACATGCATCTGAAATATGTTGGTCATCTCTGTTCACATATAATAGCATGGCTGGGTGGTTTTGCATTTTCAGTAAGATAAGGTTTGAATGGAATCCTTCATTTAACTTAGACTTGCCATTTATCAGTGAGAACACAATTTAAAAAAGCTTTCACTGCTGTTTGTGAACATCATATTGGCAAACTAGAATATGCTGTCTTCTTTGTTAGTTCATAGGCTATACCATAATGGTTATCACCATAGTATTTGAGCACCTTGTAAACATTTAATGTTTTAACTCATCTTGAGATAGAAAAGTATTATCTCCATTTACGGATGGGGAAATGAGGCCTGGAGAGGTTAAGTGACTTGCCCAAGATCATATAAGATCTGTGGCAGAAGTGAGACTAGATCCCGTATCTTTATACCTCAGTCCAATATCTTAACCACAAGATCATCCTTCAGTGCTGTAGAATTGTGTCAACTATGAAGCCTATATTATTACATAAGGACAAGTATAGATTAGTATTCTTGAATTTACTTAGAATAAATATGAGTCAACGTTTATGAAAACAGTATTATCTATTGGTGCATTTCTCATGCATTGCAGTATGACAGCTATTTAAGATACCTATTACAATATGGCTCAGTGTTTCAGACTAATCTGTGAGGTACATGGATTGCTTATTTATTGAAAAAAACTATTCTAGTTATTATAATATAACTTTATTTGGCAGAAAATAGTTGCAATTGCTACCTTCTCATACACTATGGTTTTCCCAGTCATCAGTGAGCTGCTAAGGTAGAAGAGAAAAAAGTCAATAGATTTTTAACTTAGATATTAGTTACTAAATATAAATCCAGGGCTGGTCTCATAGATTCAAAGGATAAACATGAAGAAATCACAAGATCTAAACAAACATTCTTTATATATCATAGGAAAATCTTCAAGTTCTTGAAAGAGAGAAGAAAAACCTTGAGGAAAAATTACAGAAAGCTTTAGAGGTACTTGGCAAGTTGAGAGGTTTTTGATGGAAATTGTATTTATATTATCTGGTTTAATCAGAAAGATTCTACAAAAAGTATTAAAGTTTAGTTATGAATTTATGGCTGTTCAGATTCTGAAAAAATGCAAATGAAAGGGTATGGAAATGAGCTGAATAAATAAGCATGTGTTTACATGGATACCATAAATGGCTGAGATATCTTTTAGACATGCTTAAGATCAGAGAATTGTTTTACTAAAAAAACAAGGAAACAATGGTTTTCTAAGTTCCTACTTTCCTGTAAGAATGAGAAGCGTATATTATCACTAAGTTAATGGTTATTCTAGAAATAAGAAATATGTTTTCAATTCCTTTTTTGAGTGATTGCACATGTGCCTTCTACTCTTGTTGTGTACGCATGCCAAGCACAGTTATAGGAAATTTTTCCCACAGCAGTGCTTGTTGGGGAACCTGGAGTGCCCTCTGCTGCCTCATTCTACTGTATGCAGGCATAAAGGTGGAGGTGCCCCTGACTCCCCTTAGTTTCTTCTTACCGCCCGTGATAGTTAGTGGAATGTGTTGGTCTTGTTTTAGCAATTTCTCTCTGTGTTATAGTTGTATATATCTTTCAGTATAGTTCTTAATGTTAGTAATAGATAAACTTTTGTTTAGTGGCAAATAGTTTTCTCGATTCCCCAATTTTGGGGTTTGTTTGTTGGTATTGAGGAATGCCTCAGTAACCGGTTTCACAGTTTCACATGCTAGATTTGAAATGTTTTAAGCGAGGACCGAAAAAGATCAGGAGGCCAATCTGAAGTTTCTTTTGATGGAGGCTGCTCTGAGACCACCTTCAGAGCCTTCTTGGTCAGAGAAGATACCGAGCACTTTGGAGTCCATATGAAATGTACCTCCAATGCTGGCTGAGTCCTGGCACTGCTTGCCCTCTCTGATGTTCAGGAAGAATCACAAGGCTTCTAAGGATGCTTCTGGGAGAAGCAGATCACAGATTCCTAAGTCTTCAAAGAAAAGGGACAAAGTTTTGAGTAGAGTGCAGTGTAAGTCAAAGCACTCCTTCACTCTCTCATGTACTAAGATGGCACTTCTGACTCTGGTGCTGGGGCCTGAAGCAGTGCTTTCATTGTCTGAGGCACCATCTTCATCTCTTGCATGAGGGCAGAGACTATTGCAGTACCACTTATGCCAGAGGTGTAGGCAGCTGCAACTGACTTGTTGAGCTTATTGGTGCTGGTGTCCCTGGCAGTGCAAAGGATCACTCCTACAGCAGGGATGCTGGAATGGGGGGCCTACGGGGCCATGGCCCTCCTGCTTTTTGAAAGTGGAGGCGCCTGTCCTGTCCTGTCCTGTCCACTTTCGGCCACAGGCCTTGCCCCTACCCCTACTCTTCCCTCCGAGACACCCCTCCCTCCTCCTGCCAGGCTGGTAGCTGGAGCCTGGCTGGGGAGCCCAGGCAGCTGTGCAGAGCCACAGACCCTGCACCTGCCCTGAGAAGAGGAGCCGGGGGGTGGGGACACAGGCTGGGGGCTGCTCTCGGGTGGCCCCCATCCCTGCTCTGGCTTGCAGCTTGGCTGGATGCAGGGCCTTTGGGGGAAGAGGAGGGAGGTGTGCAGGGCCATGGAAGAGGCAGGGGCCCCTGCCCCCCCTACTTTTGGGAAGGCTCTGCTGCCTCTGTCCTACAGCACCAGTAGACTGCTCAGTGCCACCCTCCTCAGTGCCCAGTACTGTGTCAACCTCATGTGTTCTGGACCTCTCATCCATCAGTAATGTCATAAGGAAAGCCAACAATGATGGCTTCTCTTCATTCTTCGGTGGACTCTTGCTTCTGGTCTCTGGCTTCCACTAGGATGGCCTCTCTGTGGTCAGAAGAAGATGATTCTTCTTTTTCTGACTCAGAGGTTGGCTCTTATGTCTCCCTGCCACAGGGTATCTCACCACTCCCCATTAGACCTTACCACCTGGGGTTCTTGTGAGATCATATGACTGGTGCTGGCATGGATCTTTCTGGAACCCATGGGGGTTTCACCCTATTTCAAGATACCCCCACATCATTCACATTCAGTTTCCTTGAATAGACATGGGGAGTCATGCCGTTGAACCCCTCCTGATCCTGCACCAGGTTTTGGGCGTGGTATCAAGCATGAGAAAGGGGTTCAGGAGGATTCTGAGGGGCAATTATCAGAGGAGGCCCAGCCTCAATCTGTGTTAGCTTCATCCTTCTCCTCTTCCCTGGGTCAATCAGTTTCCTCCAGAGTGTCTTTACCTTCCTCGTGATGACAACAGAGCTCGCCAGGAGCTCTTAACAAGAGGGGCCTCTGTCTTGGACATCCAAGTAGAGGAGGTTTGGGAATCTTCTCATCCTCTCATTGACATTCTGGACACAGCTTGTCCATCTCCTGTGGCTCTACTGATCAATGAACTGATTTTAGAGCCCAACAAGGCTTTCTGTTTAACTGCTTCCTCACTCCCTCTCACATCAAAATGAGCAGAGTGTAGATATTATGTGCCTTCCCAAGGTCATTCATTTCGGAAGCCAACAAAAGGGAACACTAGGGGCAGAAGGCATCTACCCCTACATCAAAAGACCCCAAGAACCTGGATTTGTTCAGTAGAAAAAATTGTTCTACGCTGGGGTTGCAGCTTAGAATTGCCAACCAGCAGGCTTTGTTAGGGCGACATGACTTTAACATCTGGGCGCTATTCTGAAATTTAAGGACAAGCTGCCTGAGGATGCTAAACAGGAGTTCCTTTCACTGGTGGATCAGGGGAATTAAGTGGCAAGAACTTCTCTTCAGGCCATTTCGGACATAGCTGACTCAGCAGCTATATCATGCCCCTGACATCATTATGTGTAAGTTCTCTTGATTACAGTCTTCAGGGCTGCCCCAAGAAGTACAGCAGACTGTTCAAGACCTGCCATTAGAAGGCTTATCCCTCTTTTCAGTGCAGACAGATGATAAACTTCATAGCTTAAAGGACTCCAGGGTGACTCTGAACTCATCGGATATATATACACTTCTGCCCCCTCAAGGAAGCACTTTTTTCCACAGCAGTACTACAGATAATCTATCCTTTCATCTTGCCAGGACCTATCAAGGAAGAAGAGTAGGAATTATAGGCACAGGCCAATCCCTGCTTCTTCTACAGCAGCTCCTGTCTCATCTAGGTGTCCTGAGGGCACTAGACAAGCATTCTGATGGCCTGATTGAGGAGGTCAGACCAATCTCTATTATTCAAGTCTCTCCTTCTGCTTTGTGGACCATCTTGTAGAGGGGAAGTCACCCTACTCCGGCTTGGAGGGGGTTAAAAGCCAGCCCTTGGAGAGGGCTGGGGCTGAGAGCCAATAAGAAAAGGCTGGGAGGCAGCCAATCAGGGCCAGGCTGAGCCCTATAAAAGGGCTGTGAGCCAGGACCTGGGTCAGTCTCTCTCTAGCTTTGGAGAGAGCTGTACCAAAGGGTACTGTGGGCAGGGGCAGGGGCAGGGGCAGGGGCAGGGGCAGGGGCAGGGGCAGGGGCAGGGGCAGGGGCAGGGGCAGGGGCAGGGGCAGGGGCAGGGGCAGGGGCAGGGGCAGGGGCGAGCTGAGCTGAGCTGAGCTGAGCTGAGCTGGGGAGCTCAGGCCTGGCAACCACCCAGGCTGTGGCCTGACAGGAAGGCCTACAGAGGTACTGGGCTGCAGGGAAAGGCAGCAGGTCCAAACCCCCCTTGCCAATGATGAGTGTCCATTACACTGCAGTCTGCCCCAGTGAACAGGGGCTAGATGATGACTGGCAGTAGCCACTGAGGTGAGGTGGGCTTAGAAGGTTGGGTGTGGGGAGACCCAGAGAGTAGGGGCCCTGTTGGGGCAGAACCCCAGGGTCTGGGAAGGACATGGGGGTGGGAGGCAGGTGAGCCGCTGGCCAGCAGAGGGCACTCCAGGCTAGAAGTGAGCTAATTCCCAGGACAATCAGCAGGAGGCGCCGCACTGGTGAGTCTCACTTCGCTGCACATCTATCCCACTTCATCAGTGCTTGGTCCCAAATTACTCTGGACCAATGGATATGACATACTATGGAAGTGGGATACACCTTTCCATTTATATTTTCCCCTTCTTCCCACCCTCCCTCTCTGTCTCTCTTCAGGGACCACTCTCACGAGGAGTTCCTTCTCAAGGAGGTTCAATCTTTCCTTTGGATGGGAACCGCAGCTGATATTTCACAATGTCACAGAGGAACAGAGTTTTAGTCCCATTGTTTTCTAATACTGATAGCTAAGGGAGGTCTCAGGCCAATTGTGAGGGAGCAGAGAAATTGCTGTCCAGCACAGCAGGGGTTGAAGAAAACATCTGAGTTCAGCTAGCCCCACCCTGCTATACTTGCAGCCAATGCCAAGTCTGGAGAAAAGAAGAGTACCTAGCTCAGTTGGGGGTTGACTGGTGAGGAGGTAGGAGCTCTCTGCCTGCCTTCCAGAAGGGATGGATCAGTGACCAACTGCCAGCTAGCACAGCCATTTGAGGCAAGTAAGGGCTCCCCTGCCAAGGGGAGGCTCCAAATAAGCCCAGCACTCAGGTGACTGGACTAGTGGGGCTACACCCCAAACTGAAGAGATGTGTAGGAAGTAACTCAGAGAGTGAGTTTGACTCCTGTCATGAGGGAGACCCATCTCCCCTGTTCAGGGGCTGATCTACACAGGGCCCTGGTCTGGGACCTGGTAGAGAGGGAGGGTCCGGGTCCCTGTATTACTGCCTCTGACCTTACAGACTGAATGAACAATAATCTAGCCACTAGGCTGCTGTCAAGGTTCCTTCCCCACTCTGAACTCTAAGGTACAGATGTGAGGACCTGAATGAAAGACCCCCTAAGCTTATTCTTACCAGCTTAGGTTAAAACTTCCCCAAGGCACAGATTTCTTTCTTGCCTTGGGAACCAACTTAGGTTAAAAACCTGGTACGCTGCCACCACCAAGCGATTTAAACAAAACAGGGAAAGAGGCCAGTTGGAGATGTCTTCCCCCAAAATATCACTCCAA